CACGTGCTTCATCCTCCCTATGTGCCCACGAAGTACCGGTCTTTTCTGCAGGAGTACGTGTCCCTGGCCAAGACCAGGCTGGCGGACCTCAAGGTAAGTTTCGGGAATCTGATCCCCCTCTGACAGTTTACCGCTGCATTTCCCAGAGCTCCTTGAAATTCTGACAGGATCCTTGGGCGGGACAGTGGCGCAGTGGTGAGCTCTGCTGCTTCGCAACGCTGGGACCCTGGGGTCGATTCCAGACCTGCAGTACTGTTCGCGTCGAGTTTGTATGTTCTTCCCGTATTTGCGCGAATTTCCTCCCACAGTCCGAAAAAACATACTATTAGCTTAAACGGCTTCTGGGAAAATTGTCTCTGATGGGAGTGGATGGGTGTTTGTGTCTGTGTGTGCCCTGCGATGGACTGGAGTCCAGTCCAGGGTGTGCCCAACCATTGCTGGGATAGGCTCTGGCTACCCCGCAGCCCTGAATTGGAGGAAGAGTTTAGAAACTGGGTGGGTGGAAATGACTTCTTGAAGGTGAAGCATCTGTAAATTGAGCAGCAGATCAGATCAGTTTTGAATAAACAGAATATGTTTGTTTTAGACTTATTTTTCATGTTGTGAAACTGGTAACCCAGAGTTTTCATAACTTAACAGCCCATAATTCAGTACTGTTAAGTTTGTTTTTTTTGTCCCTGATACTGTAGGTCTCCTTTGAGGAAATGGGCCTTTATGAAGTTGTGTCAGGATCTGGAGCACCGGAGCAGGTTAAAGATTTTCACCTTTTTGCCTCTGCATGTTCACGGGATGTGTGAATTCAGGTTAAAACATTGTAAGTTAGATATTTGCAGTTAATTTGGACTGAATCTGGAAAGTTAATTTGAAAGTGTGAAGTTTGGCGAACTGTACACCAGCTGCATTGATCAATTGCATGTACACACATGTCACAAATTTTATAAACAATGTGAATGAATGACAGTCAAAACTACTTTCATGGTTCTTTTCCATTTGCCCACAAATAACTGCCAGCCCCAGTGTCAGGCCCAGCAGGACGTGGAGAAGGCCATCTCTCTGTTTGAGAAAATAGGCAGGATCCCTGCCAACGTGATGGAGGCCAGGTATTACTGCCTTTATTTCCCCATATATTGTGATATAATCCAGAAGACAGTCCACAGTATGTCAATTGAACATGACCAATACATGAGACACAGATTTTGCAGTGTAGTATATAATTGTGTATTGTGTATCACTCTTTGTAGTAAAACAAATTGAAACCAGCAGGTGAAATTAATCTGTTAAAAGAATAAAGATGCACACTTCCTGACCGGAACATGAAGAAATGCTAGTACAATGAACAGTCTTACTTTGTGACAGACCGTACTGTACCTCTCTGGCTCTGTTGAGACATTTATCCACCACCTTCCTGATCTACACCCAGCTGGAATTAGGATAATCAGTGGCATATGCATTTCAGTCACTCCTTAACACCTCAGATCAATCCTCCTGGAAGAATGGGATGGGACATGGCTACATTGTCAAACCATATATTATTAATATTATTCAGTCCTAATATTCAGGTCATGAGTTTGGTCAGAACAGATCTCATTGGGTGACCTATTTGTTTCCTGTATCTTGTAGTATTTTCAGAAGACCTTACTACATGTCTAAATTTCTGCCAGTCTTGCTCACACCTCGTTTGGTAAGTATTCTTGAATTGTCATTGTAAATGCCATGCATTACACTAGGTAAGCTTGCCTTAAATTTAGCTTTGAGCTGGAAAGTGAATCATCTACCATGTAGCTGTGCCTGATATTTTTTGACTGTTCCTTCATTCTGTTTTTTTTCCTCACTAATTGTTTTGCATTATTGCAGTAGTAATTTCAGATTTATTGAGGAAAGCACTTTCTACTAAGTACTTGCATTGGAAATGTTATTCGGATTAACCAGATCAATCAGCACAGCTAATGCCCAATCTAGAAAAAAACATGTTGTGTAATCAGTACTCATGAAAACTCCTTATTATCAGTAAAAGTACTGAGAAAAATCATTAGGAGTCACAGAGCACAAACACAAAGAAGCAGGTCTGAATGTTACTTCTCCTTTCTTTTGGACTGTCTAGCAACAGTTAGAATCTGATTCTTCCTGAGCACCTGTGAACAAATAACATAAACAGCAAGGCTATTCTTGATAAAGGCCAAGATGAGCAGAAAATGAAAAAGCCCCAAAGTGACAGCTGGTTAGGATTTCTGATCAGCCAGGAACAAATGCTACAATTTCTTTATCCCTTAGTGTCTTCCCAAGAAATAGGATTTGCTTGGCATAACGTAAGATCAACAACTGAGGCTATATCACTGCTGACAAATTAATCATTCTTTTTAAAATTGTTCTAGATTCCAGATATCCTTGTAAACCTTTAATTCCTTCTGTTTTTACTGCCCTCCAGCTTCCTGGCAAACCAGATGCTCGGATGGCTTTCATCGAATCCCTCAGAAAGTAAGTTGTGCATCATTGCAGTGCAAGCTGGTTGGCTTATTTGCAAAAACACCAGAAGGCATTGATTAAATAAATATTTATGACAGATCCTGCCTTGGAAATGTGCGTTAATCTTGGAGGCTTTGTTTTGTGATGACTCAATGTTTTGCTTTGAGGGTACTGTTTTAGCAAAGCATGCAAATTTGTTGAGTTTCTACATCACAAACCTTGGCCAGCAGAGTTATCAAAATCTTCCTGGACTTGTTAAAATATTTAGTATGATTTATAGATCAACTAAAGTTTTTACACTTGTGTATAATGCATTTTAAACTTGGCTCTCATTTAAATTCATCCTGAAATTCTGTATGTAATTTGTATAGAAGCAGGGAGAGAGTCAGAATTACCCTGAAGTCTTTTTTTCTCTTTCCTTCTTTCAGAGCTGATAAAATTCCAGGAAACATGCATGCAGCCTATTTGCAAGCTTGTCAAAAGGAGAAGCAGAGACAGCCTGAGGGTTTGTGGATTTACTTTCTAAATCATCAGTTTTTTTACAAAGCAGGATAGTTTCAGAGTGCCACCCAAGTCGAGTCTTCCAACAGCTCTTGCATATTACGTTAAATCCATAAACCTACCACTCCTTTCGGTTTTGTGTGCTAGAGTAAAATCAGAATGGCTTGTAAAATAGAGAGATGTGGAGATAAAAATCAATGACAAGTGATTTATATTTACTGTAGGCTCTGTAGCCCTGCAGGTGGATCTATATTCTTAATAAAGAGACCAACTAGCAGTTAGCAAGTAGCACGCTGCAGACACAGTTGGAGAAGCTGAAGACGTTTCTTTGTCTTTTTTTTTCATTTTTTAATGAAATAAGGCATCAGCAACAAAACACAGAATTAAGAAAATTAGGCAGTCTCCGAATCTTATCGGAGATATGAATGTGTTGCTGGAGGTCAGGTCTAGCAATGTTAGAGAATTATATGGCATTAGCTCTTTAGAGAGAGATTGTAAATATTTATAAGTCAAAATTGCCCTTCATAATGCAACATTTATACAAATGTATTTAAAGGACTACTTTCATTGACTCCAAGTTCATTTGTTCTTATTGACTGGATATGGCTGTTGTATCAGTTCAGGCATGCTCATTTGGTGATAGAATTGAAACAGATATTCAGTAGATTGCAGCTGCTTTGCACTTGTATGACACTTGGTAGTAATTTCTAAATGTTGGTATAAATTCTTATTGTCCGTTACTTATTGCAGATACAGTGACATTGTAAGTTTCATACTGTGATATTATAAGCATTTCCTGTATATTTTTAGTTCACCAATGAACCTGCACCATATGATACCTATAAAGAGCCAAACCAGACTTTGTTGCCTGGTGTTGTCTTACGTGTGAGACATGAGACGGCACGAGTGTTTCCTGCAGGCACTGCTGGTTCGTCTTGCCCAGGTGTGCCCCCCACTGACAAAGCGCAGTGACTGGCCTGTGCCCCTGTGCTTTCAGGTGGGGAGGGCAGTGTGGAGGTGAGCCTGCCCAGGGGGCCGCTGGAGCAGCTGCAGGCAGAGCTGCGGGACCTGACCGCCGTGCTGTCTGAGAAGGGCGTAGCCGATGGTAGGCGGCAGGCTGTGTTGAATTCACTAACATTCCTGGGAACATCCTGGATAAAGCCGGAGCCTCTGTCAGTTCATTACCTTCACTGGAGTCGGAAACTCTGTCTGGGGCTGGATTTGTATGGTCAATGGCACCAGTCGTTGGGGAAATCCCAGGAATGGTCACTAGGATCGGACTGCCAAGCTGCATTCCCAGAGGGCCTCACACAGTGTGGTTTGCGTTTTTGGTTGTGAATTAGTTACCCAAACCGATATTTCTTTTTTTTAAGCTCTCAACCGTTCCAGTATACACAGAAACACACTGACTATACAGATAATGAATGGATGCTTCTCACGCAGTTTTGCTCTGTTGCCCCTTTTGAGGTTGATGTGACAACATCTGTAGGATAAAGCAGTTAAGTTGATTAAATACTCACAGCTATATCCAGAATAGAAGTAACACCTCATACCCATATCACTTTTACTGCAATAAAAGCACATTCTGCTGACTCTGGGGAATTGGGCTTTGAAGTAATAATTTTCCTATTTATTTTTTTCTTCTTCAAATCTCCATTAACATCTCTCTTACTTTCAGATATCTCATCCCGCCTGTCGCTGATTTCAGAGACACTGAAAACCCTTTTTAACAAGACAAATGACCTGCCTTCAGAAGCCCCATTAAAAATCAATCTTACATCTCCCAGCGCAGAGTCTCTGGAAACCAAAGTAAGTGTCTTATGCATTGTAGAGATGAACGTCAATAATTTCTGCAGGCAAGAATGGAAGAGAAATGTACTCGTACAGCTAGTTTGTATGCAGAGGAATATGAGCCTGCAGAGGTGAATCCTACAGAAAGATACATAATTTGTATAACGGTAAAAAAAATGTGTTAATAATATTACAAAGTGTCAAGGCTTGATACAGAACAGCAAAGAAAAGAAAATGTGTTCTTAATGTAATGTGATACTGTTAGCACTTGCAATATCCTGAGAATATAATAATGATTGATAATGATAACGATATGTGAAAATATTATTTCCTTAGGTCACCGACATAATACTAAAGAATTTTTGTCAGAACCTAATGAATGTCTCCAAGATCAATCCTCCAAACAGGTGAGGATATGGACTGGCCAGCAGCTTCTAACAGACGGGTGTACTCAGTCCCTTTTTTAAAAATGGAAATATTGAGTGTTGAGCTGTATCTGTAGCAGATGACATCCAAACAAGGTACAGTAGATGGGCCATTTCTTATTTGTAATTTTTATAAGAATAGAATCCCTTTCAAAAATTCAGGCTCATCTGATAGTTTTCCCTTCACATTTAACCTTGTAAAGTGCTGACTCTTTTAAGATCGGAAAGATGTATGGTTACCCACATTTTAATTCATGATTAAAACTTATATAAACTGATGTATTGAGTTGATTTAGCCAGTCAGTTGTCTCTCAGTGAGCAGATGTTTCCCCAGTGTACCACATGTGTACTCCTGTAGCTGAGCTTGATCCTAGATACTTCATCTCCGTGCTGAGATTGCAAAGGCTTTTTTACCTTTCTAAGCAGGGCAACAAAAAACAATTCATATCACTAGCTTAGAAGTGCGTAACATGCTATGTGATTGAATTCCTGCATCCTTAACCACATTTATAAGGACTATTGGGATGATGCCCAGCTTTTATGTCCTGCGTTGCAGACAAGGAGACTGGGCTTCGCTGTTTGTGAAGATGCTGCATGGGCACAGGCAGCTTTTGCAAAACCTCCTAAATAGGCTGTGGTACCTAATATGCCGTCAGGTAATGACATGTCTTTAAAATATTTTGTCATGCAAAACATCTTAAATGTCTTTTTCTTGGGATGTTGTGAAGCTGTCTTTGCTTTTAATGTATTGTTTTGCTGTGGTCTTCATTTGTTGTGTGTCACTTTTTGCATTTTTTTGAACGGGTTTGCAGTGACCTTTTCACAGTCATAAGCCCAGCTCTCGTGGTTCAAGAAGAAATTCAATTGCTCAAGCTGTAAAGCACAAACAAGAGCAGATTTGATCAAGGTTTTGTAAATTGTTCCAACACACGAATGCTGACCCTTTGTAGTTACTTCAAATTATGCTCAGTGAACAGAATGCACAGATATATCTGGAAATTTAAAATTCACTGTTGGGGAAATGCTAGAAAATACTTTTTACATAGGTAATTATCAATACATGGAATGAATTATTGGAATAGCAGATGCGGAGGATGCTGATATCTTTCAAAATGAGGCTTGACTCTGTGACAGAATCACTTAGTGTGTAGAAAAATGATGAGCACTGACTTTTGAGAGGGGCTGAACAGCCTTTTCTCAAAATGAACTTTTTTTATGTTCCTGTGGGTGTTTGTCCAGCCTAAATGGATTCATAAAACAACCTCCCATTTCAAAAAAAAAAAGTCTACATTTGTGGAGAGTTCCTTCCACCAGTTTTATAACCCTAAAGTGAACTGAGATATAGGGTCAGAACTTAATGAAAGCGGGTCTGTTGTGTATCTTTCCTCTGTATTCTCTCTGCAGGGATCCTCTCTGAGCTCCGGGCACATCCTGGGACTGTCTGTGTTTGTGGTGCATCTTCATGAGTCCCGGACGCTGGCTCCTCTTGATACCAGTGTTCTGGGCTCCTGTCCGGAGTCCTTTGCCGAAGCTCTGGGCAGCTTACTGGCTTGCAACACTGAGGAGACCATGACGTTCTGCTTGAGGTGACAGTGCACACTTCGTTTTGTACGTGCTGCTCTTCTGATTCACTTACGCCTAGGTCTGCAGGCCTCAGGACATTGTAAAGTACTGGGTATTATTAGTGTTTTTCTGAAACTCAAGCGATATATTCACTGAAATTTGAGATGCTAGACACTCCTGGGGTGTTATCAGGGATTTTCCAATCACATGTAAGCACCTGATTATTTTATGGGTTTGGGTTTTGCCCAAGTAAAAAATACATTTTCTGCATCCTGCCTGACTATTCTGGGTGAGTGTTAGGTTTGTAATATCCCTGGTCTCCGGAAATAAACCACGCATTTCAAAGATGAAATGAGGCTGATTATTAATTTTCTCTGTGAACATGTGTGGCTCTTTAAAAAATTAAAAACATAAGATCTAGATTATTGCAGGGCATGTACAGGGCTGCAGTGCTTTATCATGTCCCAGTAAAAGCCCAAAGCATTTTGAACATTTTCTGCTTTCTCCAGAAAATAACTCTCTTTCCTTTTTAAATTAGGTTTTGCGTGTCAGCAGTCTCCTATGGCCTTTGCAAATTTTCTGCATCATCCATTGAGAATATCCAAGGTTACATACCCAAAGCCTTCTTCAAAAAGGTACAGAATTGCCCATGATTGTTAGCATCTGGTTTTCGACCCTGTGTTAGATGTGCTGATAGTTAATAGATTTGACCCATCTGCCAGCAGGGAGATAACAAGAGCAATCAGCTTATTCACACTCCCACAACTTTTGCATGAAGCAGTGCCTCCTGGGCCTAGTTTTAATTTAACGTCCGTGTAGTTTCTGCGTGTGTCTATGGTTCGTGTTTCAATGCTCGTTCTGAAACCCACTGCCCTTGTGGATTTGGAATATTTTTAGCATGTCCCCTTGTAGTCTACCTTGTTCAATACTAAATAGGTTCAGTTCCTTCATTCTGTGAGCGTAGGACATTCCTTTAAACCCTGGAATGTATCTGGTTGCTCTCCTCTGGAAGGATTTCTCTGCAGCAATATCTTTTTCATACCATGGTGACCAACATTGTACACCAGCGTCTAAATGACGCCATACTAGTGCATTGTACAATTTTTACATAACACCACATAACATCCCCTTAATCCCGTATGGTCTGAGAGAGTCACCCCTTCATCCCCCAGCTCCTGTACCTGATTCCCCGACTGGCTCCGGAGGTGCGTGCTGGGGCTGAGGAAGAGGCGCAAGGAAATGTGTGGAGACTCCGTGCCAATCCCTGTACCAAGTGGAGGAGCTCGGCCCTGGCCCTCTGGAGACACCCCAGCTTCCAAACTCTTCACAGGCTCCCACAATTCCAGGTTTCAATCCAATATTAAAAGTCCCAGGCCTTCCCCAAAAACGGGTCAATATCTTTGCCTTATGATTACGTCTTTGATTCCTTGTCTTTCTGTGCTTCCATATCACGTACAGTATGCAGTGCCACAGCGTTTTTGCCTGATGGATAAATCTCACCATATGTTGTTTGATCACAAATACAGGCTAAGGCATGAAAGTATGTAAACCTTAATAGGATGAGAGGGGAGTGGGAAAGAAAACAGTAGCAAAACACAGTGACTGACGAAGAACTTAAACTGATGACTTTTAGAATGAACACAAGCAGTTAGGTAAAATGTGTGGTGGGTTGGGGGTGTATGTGTAGCAGACAGACATAAATGGAGTGAACTGTCTTACAAGCTGATGTACTTCTGTCTGCCAGTGTAGTCTTTGCAGAGCAGAAGGGCAGAGTCAGTCAGTGAAATGGGGAAGAGCAGAGGACCAGCAACCTTCTACTGAGACTTACACACTGAAGGAAAGTTTTAGCAATCCACCCTCGTTACCTGTGTGTGGAGGGAGCCATGGTCTAGCCACCACACTAATGTGCCGGCCCAGTTAATGTTCTTATCTGATATAACGCCTCCTGCAGTACAATCCCAGCTCTGCGTGTGAGACTCCTGAGGGGGTAGATATTGTTGATGTGTAATCTGTATTGGTGATAATACAATGAATCCTTGCGTGGTAGAACGACCAGAAATCGTCAGTGAAGCTGGAAACATGGAAACGCACTTCTAAATAGCGGGAATGTGCCTTTTGATTTCGCGCAGCTGACCTTTCAAGACTGGCTGGGGGCGGAGCTGGGAGTCCAGAGAAGCGCAGACGCT